AAAAATATTTCCCTCAGCATTGATTTAGCTGTTTGACAAAGTATATGCTTGTTTACATGTAGTAGATATGACATACCACAAGTTAAAGCAGTCTCATAAAAATATTTAAAACTTTAGACATATATATTATCATAAGACTGAAAACTTCTAATTGTCTATTCATATTTCTGGAGGATATACCCTCTCTCTATCAACCACAGCTTACAAAATAGTTAAACTTATTTTTATAGGAGAGTCGCTCAGAATTTACCCTTAAATTCAAAATAAGGTAACAGTTTAATAAACAGGTAATCATTAAAAACAAGACTGATTTAAGTACTGGAAATATAATATCGCTATTTATGTTAATTTGTATTAAAATTTCAAAGTTGTTTTTTATGCTTGTTTTGATATGGGCTTTATTATTTCGATTTGCTAAGGACAACAAATCTGGAGAGGACTGCCATCGGAAAGACAGCTTGTTCTACTCACAGATCTCGAGAGAAAGGGCACATCATGCCATGGGAGCCACGTGGAGAAGCACTGAGGCTGGTCAGGGGGCAATGAGAGAGAGGAGAAGGAATGAGAGGAAGGAATGAGAGAAGCAGGGGGAGTGTTTTAGGATTGGCTAGTTTGAATAATTTCAACAGGTTCTGGAGCACAGGGGCCATCACCAGTCGTCTGGTACCTGTCCCTGAGATGATTAAGGAGGAACAGTCCCTCCAGGGTCAGCAAAGCTAAAGCATCAGAATATAGGAAATAAAAGATGTGGTTAATACAATACAGTCATGAATCACTTCACTATGTGAATAAATTTTGTAAAATACATCCTTAGGCGATTTTCGTCATTGTGCAAACATCATAAAGTGTACTTACACAAACCTAGATTGTGTAGCCTACTTTACACGTAAGCTATATGGTAGAGCTCCTAGGATACAAACTTGTACAACATGTTACTGTACTGAATACAGTAGGCAACTGTAACACAAATGGAAAAGTATTTGTGTACCTAACCATGGAAACAATCCAGTAAAAATATGATATTATAGTCTTATGGGACCACTGTGGTACATATGGTACCTCATTGGCTGAAACATCATTATACCGTGCATGAGTATATTTAATTTGGGATTGAGAAACATTAAAAAGAAATGTTGAGAATTTAGCTGATTCACGGGTCATAAACTTTTTTAGCATAAAATGCCTCCTGTAGGATTAGATAAGGTCTGTGGGTGCCCACTGCTTAATAAAATCAAGTCTAAACATATTATTCTGGCAATCAAAGTCTTAATAACTTGCTCCCACCTTGTTCATTCTCGACTGAACCCATCCAATCCCTCCGTTTCAGTCCTAACATTAGAATATATAGTGTTAATTTTTTCTTCCGTGCCTTTATGCATAGTCTTAGTTCTGGTTCCATTTTAAAATTTGAATATGGGTCCTTATTTCTCCTATGATAGTAAAACTTTTTACCACATATTTCAGCTGACCCTATGTTGTACCTTTTCCCCCCTGTATTTGATTTCTTTGCTCCCATGAAAGCACAGGGTCTTCATCCTCCTTTGCATCTACAGAACCATAGTACTTGGCAAAATCACACCAGAAGATTCTTAATAAACACTTCCTTGTTGCACTGAGTTGTCTCGTGAGAGGAAAGAGTGTTAAACAATGAAAAATGGGGTGAAAGGTGCATTTATAATAGGAAATATGTTGGTTAAACATTCATGAAGCTATATTAAAATGACACACTCCTCAGAGTCAACTCCTAAGAGCATATCTGAAAGAGAGATGTTGCTATAAGCTAATTACTCAGGGAAAATATTTTGAGGAGGAAATAATTTTATCATTTTCTCCAATGAGAGGGAAAAGAAGATGGAATCTCCTGTCATCACTCTGTTATAGATTCATATGAAAAAGTTTTATGTGAATTTTACAAAGCTTCAGGACTGTTTTCTGAAGAACTCGATGGGAAGTTTCCTTGTCATGCAAACACAAACTCTGATATAATTAATTTGTATATGTGTTATAGCTTTTAAAAACAGGTATATTATCATTCTTCAAATACTTTTAAGTTTTCTCTTCCATCTTCTGTAAGTGATCTACACCTTTTCCATAATCCTAGTTAAATATTGTGTGTGTGCATATGTATGTACACATACACGCATATAGTTTTCTACTTAGATTCTTTTCTTTTCTTTTCTTTTCTTTTCTTTTCTTTTCTTTTCTTTTCTTTTCTTTTCTTCTCTCTCTCTCTCTCTCTCTCTCTCTCTCTCTCTCTCTCTCTTTCTTTCTTTCTTTCTTGATGAGCACTCACTGTTTCACCCACGCTGGAGTGCAATGGCACGATCGTAGCTCACTGCAGTCTCGAATTCGTGGGCTCAAGCAACCTCCAGCCTTAGCATCCCAGATAGGACTACAGGAATAGGCAACCATATCTGGCTACGTTTTTTACTTTTTGTAGAGACAGGTTATGACTGTGTTGCCCTGCTTGGTCTCAAGCTCCTGAGCTCAAGCAATCCTCCTACCTCAACCTCCTGAGTTTCTGGGATTGTAGAAATGAGCTCCTGTGCCCAGCTTAGATTTATTATAAGTACAAATATCCCTTAACTACATCAGTATTTATTCCTTATAAGAAATGTACAGCTTACCATTTTAAAATATTCTTGTCAACTTATTTCTCACTCTACTAAGTCACTTTTAAAATTCAATTTTAAAGTAAATTATAAAACCTTACATTAATGAACATGTTATTTCAGAATTTTATATATTGATTTTTAAGAAGCATTAACAATATATAGCAACTATGAATTAAGTACATTTGTCTTTTTAAAATCTCATATTTTATATTTCACTACTCTCTCATTCTATTTCCCCTCATTCATTTTTATTATATCTTTTTATAATATCATCAGACTCCTTTTCCAAATATATCTTATATGATTAAACCTTGCCATAACAATCACTATCTAAATTCATTTTGGTGGTTCACCTCATATATATTGAGATTTATATTCAAAAATTCTCATTCATTTCTTGTTAGTTTTTCCCAATTGATAGTCTATAAAAATTAAGTATAACTGCTGTGGGAATTGGAAATGGAGCACATCTCACCCCAGATTTCCCTCACTTGATACGGGAACTGCTCCTTATCTGACCACCAAGAACTTTAAATGAGATTGATTACTGGTTTGGGTTGAGACTAGAAGGGAGACAGAGAGGTTTAGACAAGTACAAAGGCAATGCTTTTCGGATCCCTTTGTTTATACACTCTCCTCATGTTAGTCCATTAATTCTACTGCTCTGATCTTGTCATCCAGCACGGAGGCTTTTATTCTGCTGTCACTTCACCCAGATCCAACAAGTAGCACTGCCATTCTGCTCATTACTCAGAATTTAGTGAGTGTCATTAGGCAATAAATATCTTTACGTTTCAGCTCCCCTCCATTCTTCCTCATTTTCCTCTAGATTCTATTTTACTAGCTGGTCATGGGGCAGCTCAGTCAGGAGGAATTTGAACAGAACTGAACACCATGACTCAGCATCAGGAGACTCCTAAGATATATAGGTAGTTACTTCTTCCTTTCTTTCCCTCCCTAATGAAAAAGTCTACGTGTGGTTTTCCTCTTATTCCTAAACGAGATCAGCTTTCAAGATTTAAACAACAGTTCTCTGTTCTGTAATGCCTTCTGTGTACAGCACCACCATGCAGTTGACAGAAAACCCAAGTGATGTAGTAACACTGTAGCAGAATTGAAATGCACTGTGAAATGCTAGAAAAGTAGTTTTCCTGTGCTCTTGTTATCATCATTGCTCTATATTTCTTTCTTTAAAAAACAAATGATGCCTAGTTTTCAACACATTCTTGTCCTTATCTATTTCAGTTCTTGATAGATGATTTAGCAAATATATTTTTAAAAACAGAATTAATAAACATACTTGAGGAAGTAGATACATATATATATTATATAGTGTATATTATGTTTTATAAATTTCTATTATATATGTATGTATGTGTATGTTTGTATGTATATCCACTAATAATGTAAATTTACTATGGAAAAGTAACCTCAAAGAATTTTACTGTATCTAGAGTCTCTTACTGAATATTTGTAAATGCTATTTTCTCACCCTAAAGAGATGTCCAGGAATTCATATCATGCTGAACATTATATGTATACTTGTTAGTTATTTGCCATGCTAGTTAAGCAAGCAGCTTTCATTCATAAAGATTTCTGACAAATATAGTAATACAATACTATGTTTTCCAGTTTTTGTAAATTTTATTTGGCTCTTTAATATAGTGAGTTCTACAATTGTCTTAGTTAAATTTTTAAAACACCAAGAAAGAAATAAAACTCTCTTTTGAGTAAATTCCACAACATGCTACCTATCTGTACATTTTGGAGTCAGGCATTCTTGATAGGTGGAAAAACAAAACCAAACCACTACAGGTAGAAGTCAAACTGTCATGTTTCTGACAGCAAGGTCTTCCCTCAAGGACATGCTAGTCCAAATTGTTTTAATTCCACACGCTCAATTTGTATGCAACACAATATTTGAATTTGACTACGTCAGTGCTCTCTGCTACTTCTAGGAGGAGTGAGCATTTTTGGTGGCTACCAACATGTTTTACTAGAATTTGAAAATGCTGCCATTAAGGAAATAATCTGAGCCAACATGATGCCACAGCCCTGCTAAAACTTCCCCACAAGGAGGTAATTTTCACTTATTGATTCAGCTTACTCTCGGGCTGCCCCTCCTCAATGTGCAGTCTTCCACACATCTGAGCTCTGGTACATTCTTGAAAAGCTTTTGCATGAAAAACAAAATCCCCTACTAAGGTCCAATACTGTCAAACATATAAAATAAAGTCACCTCCCATTAACATAACAATTGAGAGCCCTGACTGTGGCATTGCAATACTGAGGTCTGAGTCAACCTTACTAATATGGCATCATCATCCTAACTCAGCACATTCTAGTTTACAATTACCTAACCTAGACAAAAAATCTTGGACTTACCTTATGTGTTGTTATCTGTCGTTCTGGGTATAATATCTATTGCAAATTGTCCATTTGATCAAATATACTGGCAGTTATACCACAATACGCCTCTCTCCTGCAGCAGAAAGCAAGTTAAAAGGACTTCACGCTGTGACCTCAGAGGCAGGCACAGCCGCTCCCATCCTTCAGCCAACCTTCTGGGTAGAGCAGGTTAGATGACAGCAAAGCTGGCTCTCTACATAGCAATACTTTCAAATAACGCATTCTGTGCTGTGAGCTGGGAGATTTACATCTTCCAAATTCGGCTGGCCCGAGTCAATGCTGCTTCTATGCCTGAAAATATTAAGCATTTCACTGCAGTCACTTAATGCAAGAAACTATCTGAGGAGACTTCACAAACCCTGTCATTCTGTTCGGAGACTAAAGAATGAGCACCGCATGCATAATTCATGCATTAAAATCTTCAATGCACTTCCTGTAGTCGCTGTTCTATCCAGTAATGGGCTATTGATCACCTCACCACTAAGACAATTGGAGCTCTGCGATTGGTTTATTTCCACAAATAAAATTACAACCTAAATCACAGGCAGAAGCCTCCAACCCTGCAGCATCCACTCGGGTAAAGCATTCACACGGAGGAGATGACATTTGCATACTGCAGAATATTTAAACTGGACTCTCTCTTTGGCAGAAATGCTACAGCATCTGCTTTCTTTTATTCAAAAGAAATACTTCCTGCAGATTTCGGCTGAATATTTTACATTGTAAGTGAGATATACAGAGTTGTATTTTTCCTATCATTTCTGGAATATCAATAAGGCTAAATAAAAATTAAGAAAATAAATAAATAAATCAAAGAGAGTTATAAATGGCTATAAAGTATAGGAGTTTTTACATGGGCTCATTTCAATAATCTTTCTTAGACTTTAATTTAGAAATAAAAAATTATTTCATTTCAATAATGTGGAAGGGGTTATCTTTTGAAAAATCGTGATAGCAGGTACATGCTCATCAATATTAACTACTTTGGACCATAAACACCTTTACTCTGGGTGTGTCAGTGGTTCTGAGGGTTCTTTCTCTTAGAATTTAAGCTTCTAAGCACACACCATTGTTTTCACTGACTGAAAAAATGCAGACTTTAAAACAAAACGTGCATTTAATTATGCTAATATTCATCAAGGGAAAACACAGATTGCATTTTAAAATGTCATAATAGTATTTATAAAAACACTATGGCAGGAGATCCGTGCAAAACAGTGAAGGCATATATATCTATACAAGAAATGCTTTCCATTTTTCAAAGTGTGTTGGATGTGAAGACTAGTTGTCTTATTTTTCCACCAAAAGAGGACTGAACATGATTCTGTTAAGGTCATTAAGACATCTAAATCCATATCTTCCCAAAGTCTCTTTTTATACGCACATTCACACGCACACACACACACACACAATTGATATTTCTATGTCATTGCACCTTATCATTTGTAAAACTAGAGAGAAACCTTCAAGTTCACAGCTCAAGACTAAAGAATAACAGTCAGAGTATAACCAAAGTTTCTCATCTGACATTCATGCTCTAGGGAGCCAATTCTTCCTTGGAGAAGACATGGTCACAGTAATTTTTAGTCAATAAAAAATAATAGCTGATATCAGCCTTCAAGTTTAGTAGAGATGCTGATAACAATAAGAACGGAGTTCAGGAATGTCCAGCGAAGTATGTTTTCCTTCCAAGTGCATGTAAAGCACAATCCCCACTAAACCACTGAGCATAATCCCTGCTAAACCACAGAGAAGACAATTGCAAGTGACTGCTAAAGATTATGCTAAAATGTTCTAAATGGAATTCTGAGAAATTACAATTACTTTGTCTATTATGTATTCCATGTTCCATAGTGTTTTGTTCTGCCCTTGGGTAACTTATATTCTTATATTTACACATATTGCCACTAAACAAATACACTTAAAGTAAAACACATATTATACCTTATTTTATATTTATCTCTCTTAAGACTAATATTTTTATTCTTTAAATTAAAGATTGAAATGCCTCACACATTTTAAAAATGACAGAATTTTCATTAGTTTAATCATCTATAGAAGCAATTTCATAGGAAGAAATATCTCATTTAAAAATAGTAGATATTTGAAAATTTTGAAATTCATTGGGTACAAAGATATAGAATACCATCATTTATGAAACCTAAATTACTGACATAACCCACAATAATTACAAATGTAAGCATTCAAAATGTAAGCTCCTTGAAATTACATGATTCAACAATGCATAGCCAGCTGGCTAAGAAGAACATTAGCTGAGTCTATCTCTCTTTCTACAGTGAGTGGGACAAAAGCCAGTATCTTTTCTCACATACAAATATCCATGATCCAAATCTAAAATGAAGACTGCAACTTTGCACCTGCTTGGTAGATTTTCACAATTCAATTGTCTGAGGATGGAGAGAGAGATGAGAAACAAGCACCCCACATCTTCTTCATCATCATCATCAATCTAGAATAGATCAAGATTAGGAACCAGTAAAGGAGAGAAAGATATGCATGAGAAAAACCACGGAGATAGTAAATCCCAAAGAAATCAAGGAAAAGAGGCAGCAAGTCAGCCTTGAATGGAAATGATAGGGGAAAGCAGATAATTGTACTCCCAGATAAAACAAAGCCCAAGGCTGTAATGAAGAGCCAACTTTCATTTTTCAGAAATCTGGCTATGCCTGAGTAAAAAAAAAAAACAAAAAACAAAAACACTTAACTGATCTTTTCAAACGGATGGAAAACAGAGATGTCCACTTTAGATAGATGTGGTGTCTTTGCAGATCAAGAGGCTTTCCAATACTTTAAATTTATAGTGCATGTGAAATGGGGAGTGAATTCTGTAATGCATATAGGGTCAATAAAATGAATAAAAATTTGGGAATAAATCAAAATATATTTTCTTTGTTAAATCTGTGATATCTATGAAGAAGTATAATTACCCAACCTGACTACTGTCATTTGGAAAAATGCATAATATCTCTCCATTATAAAAAAATAATGCCATTAAAAGTTAGGAAAAGAATTTAGCCTACTAAAGTTTCTACATTCTTGAGCTCAAGAGGGTAAGTACTGTGGGAGAAGATTGCATTTGTTTTCTGAGATTTATGCCATTCTTTCTACTTTTCTCTCTGTGTCCTATTAATACCATAGCCACTCCATAATCATACCTCATTATTATAATTTTTAAAAACCCGCATTTTTTGTATACCTTCTACTTGCAAGGAATTACACTAAATGCTAGGAAAACAAATATCTACAGATCAGTGGCTGCCTCCAAGATGTTCATGTGTTAGTGAGGAAAACAGGTAAACACATTAATGCAGTGATGAATATGTTACTATGATATACACTGAGATATGAAAATGAGATAATTACCAAAGCATGTAGAACTATGTCTGTATGTTAAGTCATGCTAGGTAAATGTTAATTCTTTTATTTTTTTCTACTACATAAGGCATAGCAGGAGAAGAAATATTGGCATTACCATCTACCCATGGGGGCATTAGAAAATTATCCATTGAGAGGGGTGATATTTAAAGACATTGGGTGTTATAATGGAAATAACATGAGCTTTAATGCTTAACAAATTTGATATTAAACTCAGGCTTTGCTGAATTAAGTTTGTGACCTTGGTCATACCATTCATACTTCATGAGCATCAGTTTTACTACATAGAAATCAAGGTGAATATGTATCTTCTTAGGTTTTGTGAAAACTGGATAAATCACAGCACATTTGAAAGATTAAAAAATTTTCAAACATACAGTTTTTGTAGTCAGTCAATGAGAGTTTAAATCCTGCCTCAATTTCCTTATCTCTAAAATGGGGATTTTTATCAACCTCATGGAGTTATTACAACATTTAAATATTGCAGTATCTTTATGCCACTTAACACAGTTCCTGACACAGTAAGAATTTTAGAAACATTAATTCATTTCCTCCCACAGCTTAGTCTCAGAAGAAAAGGCTTGAAGAGAAAAGCATTTTTGGTAAATGCTCAAAGGCCAAAGAGAACACTGGCCTTTGCAGGGAGGCAGGATCCCACATAATGCACTTGAGAAACTCAAGTATCTATATGACAAGGACTTTGAATACAATGGACAGTTTGTCAGGTGACAAGTCAAAGCTATGCACAATCTGATTTATATAAGGCTTTTAAAAAATTCTGTTAAAATCTCAATCATATAGGACATTTCTAACACTATTACGGTGTTTGATGCTATTCTGCAGAAAAAGAAATATTTAAAGATTTTGCCAAGAGTAATGATGAGATTTAGTGGGGGATTGATAGGCTGAATGCCTATCAGAGGCAAGGAATACGTTGAATAGAATACCATTTGTTGTCTCTCAGTAGTGATGAGGGCCTAAATAAGGCAGTTATAGGTATATGATGAGGAGGAAAATATTCTAGAGATATTTAAACATTAAAGTCAATAGTACTAAGTAGTAGTATGAGGTTGGGAGGGATCACAGAAGATTTAGGGTTGTGACTTGGGTAATTCAAAGTCTTCCTTTCTTCACTCCTACCAAAAAACCCAAAACCCAAAATGAAACCAAAACAAAAACCTACTGGTATTTTGAGAATATGATGAGATAGTGAGAAAATAATATTAGACATAACAAAATATGGGTAAACCAGGAAGCAAGAAAAAGAGTTGGTGAAGAGTTGGACACATAAATTTTCCAACAGGCAGTTGGGTAGTGAGGTTGTAGTCCACTAAATAGGTTTAGGAATGACCAGGACTGCTTAAGCTATGAAAGTTGATGAAATAACACAAGGCTAAAAGTGTACAGTAAAAAGAAAGTGGAGGATGAAGCCCTAGTATGTAGATAAGTAAATGTACGTAAAACCCTTCTTTTAACATCTTGACATATTAATAAATGAACAACAAAGGGGAAAACTGTTAGTAATTGATGTCTACTATAAGGCTGGAACAATGCTTAGTACTGTACTAAACTGATTTAATTTGATCATCACAGAGCCCTTATCAGTTGAGTAGCATGTATTTCCATTTGCATTTTAGCATGAAAAGGCATGCTTTTAAGAAAAATTAAGTAATTTAGCCAAGTCACATGACCAATGAACAGGTGAGCTGGAAGTCACATCCTTAATTTGAGTTCATAGCTCAGGTACCTTTCTATCACATCAAGCTGCTGAACCACCTCCCAGAACTACAGTCAGAAAGAAATGTTTTCTTCTCATTTCTTTGCCTTCTTATGTCCAAGAAGGCAAAAGGTTAATTTTGTATAAAAAGCATGTATAGTAATCACAACTAATTAAAAAAATTAGAGAAAAAAAGAACAGTATGGAAAAAAATGAACAATATAGAAAAGAATGAACATTTACTATGTTCCAAATATATAATATTGTACATATGTATGTATATATATCTTCATATTTATATCATTATATCAAAATTAATTTATAAAGAATGTTATCACTGCATTCTAGAGATAAGAAAACTGGCTGAAATAATTTAAGCAACTTTCTTAATGGTATATAGATATAAAGATAAGAATTTGAGTTACATATGATAAAATCCTGTGTTTATTGCATTATATAATACTTAATAGTATTTTTAAAAATTCATTTATGAAAAATAAAATAGAGCTACGGGCAGCAACATAGATAGAGCTTACAAGCTTAACACTGAGAAAAGAAGTATGGAAGAACTCATACATCACAATTCCAATCATATAAAATTTAAAAAATCAAGACAGTAAAATAGGATTATAGTTTGTCTAGAGATATGTGCAAATAAATGGAAAATAATAAAGAAAGATCTGAGAAACATATAAATACCAAATTCAGGATTGTAGTTACTTCAGGGGAGAGGAAGAGAATATGATTGGAGAGAATTTCAGAGAGGACTTCAAGTTGCATATAGTTTTATTTGTTAAGCTGGTAGTAGAACATAAATTTTTATTTTGCTTTCATATACTATCTAAATTATGTAAATATTAATAAAACATTTTAGAAAGGAGGAAAGTAATATAAGAAAAAAATTCCCAACGTTTTACAGCTGGGAAGAATTCAAAAGAGTTGCTTCAAGCAAGCTCAACTAGCAACAAGAAGCACAGACAAAAAATTTAATAAATCAAGGAAAACAATACACAAACAAAAGATGTTCAACAAAGAGAGAGTAATAATAATAAAAAGGAACCAAACAGAAATTCTAGAGGTGAAAAATATAATGAATGAAATGGAATATGCAATAGAGAACAACAACAGACACAATCAAGCAAAAGAAAGAATCTGAATTCAAAGGCAGAGCATTTAATACATTAGCTGCCATGTGAGTTGTATTTAATTCACACTGGTTTTGAGCCTAGGGCCTCATGAAGCATATGTAACTCACATGTCTCTTCAACTTGGGAGCTACAAGAAATATTTCTCAAGTTGCATATAACTCACACACAGAAAACCATAAAAAATAATGTTTTTTTCATTAAATTAGAAAGGATCATTTTGGTTTTGAAATTTTTATTCTAGTTTCATAATAAAACAGCATGGCCTCAAGGAAAAAACATTTGTAGTGTGGCAGTCAATGTGTTAAAAATATCCAGTCAGAGGAAAAAAGAAGAGTGAATAAAAAGGAATAAAGAAACTCTGGTATTTACCAAATACTATCAAATTGCATTGTAGATATTAGAAAAGGAAAAGAGAAATAAAAAGGAATAAAACTTCCCTGTAGAAAGATATAAAAATCAAGGTACATTAAGCCCAGTTTTCAACCAGGTTCCAACCAAAGAAGACTTCATCAAGACAAATTATAATTAAACTGTGAAAAATAAAAGACAAGGAGAGAATCTTAAAAGTAGACAAAGAAAAGAAGTCCCTCACATATAAGGAAATACTATTAAGGCTATCAACAGATTTCTCAGCAGAAAATTTGCAGAGTAGGAAACAATGGGATTTTCAAAGTGCTTAAAAAAAAATGCTGTCAACCAAGAATATTTTACACAGC